TTTTAGTAGAAGAAAATTTCTTTTCCATTTCTCGTCCGTCGTTTTATGTGAATTTTTCGTTTTTCTTGAGAGTTCAGTTAATTTTTTCGGTATTCGAAATATTAACAAGTAAGAAAGTCTAAGTTCGGGCGGAGCCGAACATTAAATACCCGGCGCAAGTATTAAATATATATTTTTTCACCTTTCCGAAAGCAACCGCTACATGGTAAGCCGGGGTGTATCAATTTGGAGTAAATTACCGTTTTTAAATTTCGAAATATGGAAGTTTCAGGCATTTCTGAAATTTACCGTTATATGAAAAGCGGCCGTAATTTTAGTCCGATTTCAATAATTTTCAACGTTTTGCTTATATGTGGCAAGCACAATAACCACACCGAGTTTGGTACAAATTGGTAGAATGGTTACCGATTTACATATATGTGATCATAAGTGGGCGTGGCTACGCCCATTTTCCAAAAATGTATAATATTCTTATTTTTCGTCTAAAAGTTATTGTAAATATCAATTTTGAGTGAATTATATTGAGTAGTTACTAAAATATCGCAGTTTTCGTATTTCTGGAAATTACCGTTATATGGGAAGTGGGCGTGGTTACAATCCGATTTCGCCCATTTTCAATACCAACCTACCTTGGATTAAGGGAAACCTACGTACCAAATTTCGTTGAGATATCTCAATTTTGCTCGAGTTATCGTGTACACGGACGGACGGACAGACGGACGGACGGACAGACGGACAGACGGACGGACAGACAGACATGGCTTAATCGATTTCTTTTTTCGTCCTGATCATTTATGTATACATTTGTCTATATCTATCTCGATTCGTTTTGGCTATTACAAACAACCGTTATGTGAACAAAATTAATATACCCTTGTGCACAAGTGCTCTCGGGTGTAAAAAAATTTAGCAATCGTGAAAACTCACCATCTCTATCGAAAACCAGAAACCAGAAATCGAAAAAATGAACATAAAAGTACACAAATTTATGGAATCAATAAATTTATTTTTACTGACTCTTTTAAAATTTTTTATTAGGTACTTTTTAAGCGCATCTTGAGTTTATAGAACTTTTTATTAAACAAGTAGTTTTTAAGGAAAGAACGCAACCGACTTCAAATTTAGGGGTACCGTTAATTTCTTCATGATCCAATCATCGGATCTCTAAACCAAATTACGGGATGACCCTTGAGGTACCATCTTTCCAATAAAAAAAGGATTATTGAAATCGGTTCACGTGGTCAAAAGTTATGTATTCCGGCGTATTGATAACCTCCTCTTTTTTTGAAGTCGGTTAAAAGTGTTTGAGTGCTGTTAATCTTATGTAAAAAAAGTGCAGTTTATGGATTTTAAAACGTTTATTTATTTATTACATACTGTACATAAAACTTGCATGAATGTATTTTAAAGAGCGTGTTATCTGAAGCAAATTTTCTGTATTTTCCGGTGATATATATTCAGAAATATAAAATCCCCCCCTAAAATATATTCCTGGGTGCGCCCCTGTATATACGTAAGCTCCATTGCATTACATATACACTTTTTAAAATAGTGGTTAGTTTCGAAGTAAAACATACAATGTTTTCTCATTTGTGATAAAAAAACTAAGCATTTCCTTAAGTAGGGTTAAATAAATTACCACTAGGCAATAAATGACAAAAATTTTAATGACAATGTTGGGCATTACGTTCATAAAAATATTCATTAGTGCAGTTCTTGAAACATCGCAAAGTGGCATAATGCTGCACATAAGTGAAAAAGAAACGCATTAGATACATTGGCATAATTTTTTTTTTATTATGTTTGTTTTTTTCAAAGCATTTACGCATTATTACCTACTTGATAGCTTTTGAATAAGTCTGAATATTGGATCCGTTATGAAAAAATGTACTACGCTACCTAAAGGTCAGTTCAGTTTTTGATGCAAAACGACAGATAATGCGAAACTACATCTATATTTCGCCCCTCCTGCATAACTAAAAAACAATGGACTTTTCACCTTTTCACATTTAGGTAACGATGTATGCTTTAAAAATTACAGCAATAGTTGGGTCAGATCCCCGTAGATTGTTTCTTTAGAAAAATTAAGTAAAAGACGTTATTTGATCAAATATATGAATCGGTCTTGGAAGATCGATTTAATTTTTGCCAATTTCATCCAGCATCGATTATTTTTATTGCGATTCGAATCGTGTTTATTTCGATCTGGCATCTGCACTACATAGTAGATAATTTCAGGAGCTAAAATCTCTTCCCAAAGACCTGTCTGAAAGGCACGCCTTTCTCCTTTCTTCTTTGTATGGAGTGGCTTCTGCTTCTCTACCAGTGCTTTCAAAGCTGTTCTTTTTCTTCATTTTAAGGAATTTATTTAAGGTTCATATCAAATATGTTTTACTGAGACTTAAAACGCTTATTTAATTTCATTTGTAGTTCTAAAT